TGGAGTTCCTTCTTGTCCTCAGGAAGCTCTTGCTGAGTATAGCATCATCTTCACTTTCTTATGGAAAGAAATAGGTTAATAGAGTTTAAGAGAAAAGGAGAGGAAAGAACTCAAATTCTCACCCCTCCCCAAGTAACTATAGGCAGTAAATGGTTGTTGGGTATCTTAGTTTGGGTTTTTATTGCTGGGAAGACACACCACGACCACAGAAACTCTTATAAATGAGAACATTTAATTGAGGTGGCTTGCTGATAGTTTCAGAAGTCCAGTCCATTATCATCAAGGTGGGAAGCAAGATGGTGTGCAGGCAGATGTGGTGCTGCAGTGGTAGCTGAGAGTCCTACACCTTCCAGGAAACAGGAAGTCGACTGGCATACTGGGCAGTATCCTGAGCATACAAGACCTCAAAGCCCACCCTAAATAGAGTTACCCCCTCCAAAAAACCATACCCACTCTAGCAAAGTCACACCTCATAATACTGCCACTTCATATGAAATTATGAGGCCAATTACATTCAAACTACCACATTGGAGGAACATGAATCATGATCACTAGTATTGTATTTATTGTTAAGCTGTTCATGCTACACTACATAACTGTGATTCCATGCTCATGTAAGAAACTTAAACTCAGAGGATCAGAAGGAAAAGAAATGGAAGAAAGAAGGAAAAGGAAAAAGGAATAACCTTTCTTTAGAAATATTATAACATAAGAAAATGCCGCTGTATTTAAATTTATGAGCTAATAATATATGATTCAAGAAAGATTTTGGAAGAATATATTATTTCTAATTATATAATATTAATAACAATAATAATTGAAAATTATATAAATACATTGCTCTCAGTCCATACAATGATAACGATATGGCATATTGCATATGATTTCAGGGCTGATCACTTGGTGTTAGATAACCATTTGGGTGGCTCTTTTCCCAGGAGAACTGTTTCTCCATTTCTCAGCATTTCTTAGTACTTTGTCCAGGGTGGGGGACTTTGTGGTATTTCTTTCATTCCCAAATGAACACAAGTGAACCCAACATACATGCTAGTAATCTTTGTTTAGATTACCTAATAGCAGTAGTAAATATCAGACACTAGAACTGCTAGTAAAATATCTGTCAGTTTTTTTTTAGTTACTTTGTTTATATGCTTAATTCTATAGATCCATTATTTATGTTGTCATAATCTGTTTGAATTGTGTGTTGTAAACTTTAGAAAAAACACTACAATATACAAGAATGGCAGTTTTTTTTATACTAGAATGCATTACACTTTTACTGCAGAGTAAAGAGCTAGTGCATCAGAGCCAGTGGTTGACTGTTTAATCTGTTCATAAAAAAACAAAACAAAACTGGTCTTGGAGTCTCTGTACTCGGGTTAAATCATCTTAAGTTGTCATATGTTAAAAAAAAAGCTAGTAAGAAACTCATAACATTCGGTGTGACTTCTCCAAGTCCTAGGTGTAGTGGAAAGGATCCTCTAAGAAAAATATGGAGGTAGTTGTTTAACCTTTAACACACCTAAGGACCTGAAGCTGTTGATGCATGGTAAATGATCTTCCTGACTACAATGAAATTGACTTAAAAGGCCCAATGTATTAATAGGTTGTTTCTGTGTGTGTGTGTGTGTGTGTGTGTGTGTGTGTGTGTGTGTGTGTGTTAGGGATGTGTGTATGTCTACCATATACAGATTAATACTTGTTAGTTGCACATATATGTATATGTATATGCATATTCACACACACATATATATACATACACACATATGTACATGTAGATGACAGAATTCAAAGTTTGGAGTCTCTCATTCATCTCCACCTTTAGTTTTTGAAACAGAATCTCTACTTGAACCTATTTCTCATCATTTTGCTTAGGTTCATTGGCTGATGATTTTAAGTTCCTGCTTCTGTTCTTCCCAAATTCTAGGTTTTGAAGATGTGGCTGCCACATGTGTGTAGAGACCTGTGGGTTCTGGAGAGCTGAGTTCACCTCCTCATGTTTGCACAGCAGGCACTCTACAGATTGCAATCTCTTCAGCTTTGGGAACTATATTTTTTGATATAAAATTTAATGCCAGTAATTTGCCCATTTTGTTTGGGAGTTACCAAAAATAAGAAAAGCCCTTTACCCCTTGCACCCTTTCATGTAGAAGCAAATGCTTCCCAAACAGTATTGTTACATTTTGCTAACAATTCTCTAAATGTAGTTAATAAATACTTTTGCTAATAACTATAAAGCTTTAATATACTATCATACTTACTGAATATTAAACTTTGTAACTAACACATTCAGGTTATCTAGTACCCAACATTCACTAAGAACAGCTGCAGTGGTAAGTGACTTAAATGAACATTTAAGAAAGTTTCACTCTGCCCGTGTATGGAAACTCTGACGAATGACTTCAGAACTGTTGTTAACATTTAGCACCTTCACTTACTTGATGTTCATTTGAAAGGAAATCTCTTAGGCTGTTAATTATAAGAATGACAGCCTGGAGCAGAGTGAAATATCTATATTTTTTCCTAACAATTAAACACCTTTGATTTTAAGGTCAATGTCTTCAGTTAAGTCTTGCAGAGCTGTTAAAACACTGTTCGTGTCTCTTCAATTACTCTGGATAGACATTTAAGACTCCACAGGGAGAAACTGTGTTTCCAATATTATTGGATATACAACTGCCAGTTTTAATCCTCTCACTCTTCACGTATATTCCTTACAGTAAAAATCTGCCCTGGAGGGAAGGATGCATAGAGAACAATGGGCCTCACACCTGAGAAGCTCTTGAATAAGCACTAAAATGGTAACACCAAGTCCACTGAACCCTCAGGGTATTTCACCCAGTGATCTGGGGTAGATCCTACAGGTGATTTCTCAGGTGATCAACATCCTGCAGAAGTTGATGCTGAAGTGGTTGCTGGGGGGGGGGGGGGGTGTCACACTTTAACAACTAATAGCATTACTACAAACCTATCCAATTGGCTGTATAGGTTAAAAAGTATCTAAAATTGAAGATGTTTTGAAAGTCATACAAACAGATGTGAAATGTTGAAGCTGGTAAGAAAGGTTTTTAAGAAAATCAAAATTTATGAGGATGTTTATTTCTTTTATTTCAGTATTTTCAAAAATTATTTTATCTCACACAAGGTTGATCATACACAGTTAAAATGTTGAAGATTTCTTCAAATATACAGAAGTGCATCCACATCTTGGGACTGGACAATAGCAGCTTTATATTATTGCTCTAACAGGTTTTGAGTGACACAGGCAAGGTGTTTGGGACTGAGCCTTTTTTTCTTAAGAGAAAGTTAAAATCTGAATAGACTGAAAAATAAACCACTCTTCTTTTGATCCAAAAAATAGGGAAAGACACAGAGAAAATCCTTTCTCTTTGACCCTGGATGAACAACAAACATTAACTTGGTTGGGGATTATCAGAGAGAGATTTGAACATTGAATCATTGGTACAGATAGCAAAACCTGAACTGCAGTGAGTCACTAAGGGCTCAGTGTTGACAACTCTTCACATTGCAGCTCTAATTAGCTGAAAAACTGAGGTATGGAAGGCAGTCACAGTATGATAACATAGCTTTTTATGAGCTCTACCATATTTCTCTAGGGGACACTAGATAAAAAATAAAATGAGTTTTGGAAGGGACAGGGAAAAGATACCCACTCTCAGAAAAGCTCAAATCTTTTTTCTTAGATGATAAGATGGTTTCTAGCTCCATAGAAATAGTTAACTAGACATAAATCTCCTTTGGAGACTGAATGAATTATAAAAGGAAACATGCAAATCTAGTCTGGTCTAGCTCTGTATATGAAAAAAGGAAATACTTATTGTTGTGGGATATTTTTACACTGTGTGCAGATATGTCACTGTTATTGGTTTAATAAAGAGATGAATGAATGGCCAATAGCTAAGCAGGATATGTGTAGGTGAGACTTTCTGGAAGAGAAATAAAATTGTGGGTTGACAATGGGGCAGAGTTGCTAGGCAGAGACAGTGAGGAAGCAGGAGGTGCAAAATGACAGAAAGGTAAAAACCCACGAGGCAAAACATAGATCAATATAAATTGGTTAATTTAAGTTATCAAAGCTAATGGGACAAACCTCAGTTAAGGCATAGCTTTCATAAGTAATAATAAGTCTCTTTGTTATTATTTGGGAGCTGGCTGGTGGGACAGAGAAAGACTCCTTACAACCTGTACTCCATTCTCCTTATATTTTCTTTCAAAAGAAGAAAATATGATAATCACTTGTATGTTGTTGATAGTCCCTAAACAGAAGTTCACCAAAGTATGAGATCAAACTATACACTTATGAAATGCTTTGTCTTCCTCATCTTGCCAACATATGTGCCTAATTAATTTCTGTTATTAGTTTTTGATATTACAATAGAAGTATATCATTTTCCCCTTTCCTTTCCTCCCTCCAGACCCTCAGTGTACTCCCTTTTCATACTATCCTGAGTGAGGTGGAGGCACACAGGCCAGTTCCATAATTAACATTTGAGCTCATTCCCATGCAGAGAGAAAGGAGGGAGGAAATCTTCAAATGAACAGAGAAGTAACTAAGGTAAAGGGACTAAGGCAAAACATTATTGTCGCTAACTAAGGCGAAACAATGTTGTTAACTAGGTGAAACATTGTTGCTAGCTAAGGTGAAACATTGTTGCTAGCTAAGGTGAAACATTGTTGCTAGCTAAGGTGAAACATTGTTGCTTACTAATGTGAAACATTGTTGCTTACTAAGGTGAAACATTGAACTCAAGTTTTTCTTTTTAACTTTGGGTAGGAGAATGTTCATGAAAATAAAAACAACTTCAAAACCTTTTCACTCTATTTCAAATTTTTGGCATCTTTTCTTTTGTCTCTCACACACACACATTTCTAAACACATCAATATAACAGATTTAGTACATATAGTGATTCTTATATGTTTTTGTTTTCAGGGTTGAGCACTGAATATTTGGTAAACAATTGGTGTGCTTTACCTGGGAAGACAATGGATTTTATTCAGCTGTAAAGAATGTTGTCAATCAGGTTTGATGGTTATGGAGAGGTGGGGGCAAAGGGAGGGATATTGGTGGTGGCAAGGTTTAGACATGAATGAAATGAGAATGAGGGTGATAAGATGGGATAAGAACCAATTAACAACAAGTATGTAGAAAGGAGTCATATGGAAGCACACTACTTTGTAAGAGAAACTGACTTAAAGTTAATGCACTGAATTAGTGGATCCACACAGGACAGGAAAAGTGAGGAAGAAAGCGGAGGGCAAGAGGGGAGGGGACTTAGGAATGGGAGGAAAAAAAGTGAGAGGATAGTGTAGTAATTTGAGCGGCGGGGCTGTGTCCCCAGCATTCCCACTGCCCACAAGGCTAGCTTTACCAGAAATAATTACACGGACACTGTATTCTTTTAAACACTGCTTGGCTCATTTCTATCTAGCCTCTTCTAGGCTAATTCTCACATATTAATTTAGCCCATCTCTATTCGTCTGTGTTGTACGCCAAGACGCACTTACCGGGAAGATTCTAGCCTATGTCAATCCTGGGTGGGAGCTGAATCGCCTCCCCAGGAGCCAGGAGCATGGCATCTCTCTGAGGCATCTGCTCCCGAGAGGAGAGCTGTGGAGTCTGAGCTCACTTCCTCTTCCTCCCAGCATTCTGTTCTGTTTACTCCTCCCATCTATGTTTTAACCTATGAGGGCCAGCCAAGCAGTTTCTTTATTGCTTAACCAATGAAATCAACAGATTGATATGACATTCCCACATCAGGATAGAGAGAGGGAGAAGAGGGGAGGGAAGTGGGGAAAAAGTAGGGACAGGGACAGAGAATAATAACCTGATCTCACTCTTTCTTTCTTTACTCAAGAAAAAACTCATAGTTCTATGGCAGGAATTGATTTTGAAAGATGTTTTTATGACACTGAAAAAGAGAACTGAAACTCTTTGAAAAAAGAGTAGAAACATTTTAATGAACTATCTGGTTAAATGTTTGCGCAGGTTGAGGGTTTGAATGAATATGAGCAGATGAAGTAAAGTTAGACTTTATGCAATCTTTGTTACTTTCTTTAATTATATATCTTCATAATATTCAAACTTCTCCCATTCTTTTATTGTCCTCTTCCTGACCCTGTGTGACACAGTTGCTTTCTGTACATGTCCTATACTTGAAAAGATTCACATTATTGTTTTCTCTTTATCTTGTCTCTCTCTTTTTTTTTTAATCTACCCAACTGGTTTCTCTTCCTGTGTCTACATTTCCTTTTGTCCTAAGGATATGAATACATAATTCCTTAAACCCCTACCTCACACTAGAGTCTTACCAGTATTGTATGTCAAATTTTAAACCATGAACTTCAGAGAGAAACATAGTTTAGCCCATTAGAGATTGGATTAATTTGTGAGTACTCATTTCCTGATTGTGATGGGCACATTGTGCTTATGGGAGAGAACTCCCCAAATATTCATTTCTGCTGTTTGTTAAAAGTATAATGTTGTTCACATGAGAAGAAATAAGATAGGAGCTGCATGTGATGTGTCAAAAATCAGCAGTGTGGAGCAATTGTGTTATTCACTGTTTTAACTCGGAGCGTAATTGAGGCAGGTGGAACCATTTTTTCTGACTATGAAAGAAACCTGGGTAGATAAACAGAACCGTACAGGGAAAAAAAATCCTATAAACAAAGCTCTATCTCAGAACACAAGAAATATGGAAGGATTTCGATGACTGGGATATTGACTTTACCTGGACTTATGGTATCTTAGGTAAATAATTTTGATTGATAAGATATACAGTTATGATGGCCATGGATAAATTGGGAACATTAAAGTAAAGCATACAGTAAAATCATTTCTTGAAGTCAGAAGTTAATTCATTTTTAATTGACAGTTGGTGGCAATTGAGCATTTGACAGTTGATATGGAGCAAACGCATTACTTTCTTAATAAACAATCTTTTTTTCTTTTAACATAGCCATCAGGTATTTAATTGTGTGCAATATAATTAAATGATCAGTGTCTAGCCACAGCATATGACACACTAGAGAGAGTATAGGACAAACTTTTTATTTACTTATTTATTTATTTATTAAAGATTTCTGCCTCCTCCCCGCCACCGCCTCCCATTTCCCTCCCCGTCCCCCTATCAAGTCCCCCTCCCTTATCCGCCCAAAGAGCAATCAGGGTTCCCTGCCCTGTGGGAAGTCCGAGGACCACCCACCTCCATCGAGGTCTAGTAAGGTGAGCATCCAAATTGACTAGGCTCCCCCAAAGCCAGTACATGCAGAAGGATCAAAAACCCATTGCCATTGTTCTTGAGTTCTCAGTAGTCCTCATTGTCCACCCTGTTCAGCAATTCCAGTTTTAACCCATGCTTTTTCAGACCCAGGCCAGCTGGCCTTGGTGAGTTCCCAATAGAACATTCCCTTTGTCTCAGTGTGTGGGTGATCCTAGAGAAGCTAAATAAGAAGGTGAACCCAAAGAAAAACATATAGGCGTCCTCCTGAATATTAACCTTCATCAGGCGATGAAAGGAGACAGAGACAGGGACCCACATTGGAGCACAGGACAGAAATCTCAAGGTCCGAATCAGGAGCAGAAGGAGAGAGAGCACGAGCAAGGAACTCAGGACCGCGAGGGGTGCACCCACACACTGAGACAATAGGACAAATTTTTAAAGCGAAGGGCTTACTATCCAGAAGTGAAATCTTGAAAAAAAAATGTTGGTTCTTGAATACTTTTAAACAAAGTCAAATTAAACATGGTTTGTAATTCAAAGGAAACATGGGGACACAGAAGATGAGAGAGGACTGCTGTTTGTGTGCCGTGCTTCTCCTCTTTCAGGTAAACTCCAGTTTGTGCCCTTTTTTGTGTGTGTGTGTGTGTGTGTTTACGTCCATTTAAGTCAATGTCATAACTGCATATGACCATATCACTAATTTGTAGATAATAAAGAGATTTTATAGTTATAGACCCCTTGGATTTTAGAAATCCAGGCAGCCTCCTTGTACCCTAGTGTGTGAAGACATCCCTCATAAATTGATAAAGCACAGTACTCACACAGTGAAACTCTTGCATCACAGCAAATCTGTTTGGCACAGCAAATCTAATATCCATGTTTGTGTTCCACTAGCTCTTAGGCATTTTGTACTCATACCAATGCCTTATATGTAAGAATTTGCAACAATTATCTTATAAATGGGAGACAATTAAAAAATACAACTAAAGACTTTGGAAACCAGAGTTTTTCCACTTAAAGACTTACTTATACAGTAGATGAAACTTGAACTGATATTTAAATGATGAATGATTTGAAATGACAGAGAAAGAAGAATAATGGGGTTTGAGAGAGAAGGATCAGTGTTATACAAAGCCCCTCAAAGATAAGGAGTGTGGTCAGGTGACCTCTGTTAATTAGATCAAGAATAAGTGTATTTAGCTTATTATTTTGAAAGTATTAAAAGAAAAATTGGTGCCAGGTTTGGAAGATAAGACTATTTTGTGTATAATCAACTTTATGATATAGGACATGATGACCAAGCTTGGTCAGAACTTCCTGTGTAGCTGCATCTGTCTTCCTAACCCTATCCTGCCCTTATACACTCCAACATTCAGATCTAGCTAAAGTCATACAGTGTCCCAGCCCCATCTGATGAGCCACACTTATAGCATCCTTAACATCTAGGCTTGGGATAGACACACAACCTGTGCACCAACCCAACACCTTGTATCTACCTGGCCTTATTATGCTGACACCATATCCCAATCTTCTTGTCCCACCTGGCCTACATATAATTTGCTGCAATCAGTCCTGGTGAATCCCACTGTATCTATTTTACCTACAATCGTTATGGCAGACTTCCTCCATGTACTACAACCAGAGCCCTGACTCAGACTGGTAATCCTATCTCTGATGTGGGAGTGTCATATATCCATTGCTTTCATTGGTTAATTAATAATGAAACTGCTTGGCCTGATAGGTTAGAACATAGGTGGGTGGAGTAAACAGAACAGAATGCTGGGAGGAAGAGGAAGCGAGCTCAGACTCCATAGCTCTCCTCTCTGAGGCAAACGTGATGAAGCTCCGACCCAGGATGGACGTAGGCTAGAATCTTCCTGGTAAGTGCACCTCATGGTGCTATACACATTAATAGAAGTGGGCCAAGCAGTGTTTATATGAATACAGTTTGTGTGTTGTTATTTCAGGTAAAACTAGCCAGTGGCTGGGAGCCGGGTGGCAGGAACGCTGCCCGCAGCTCCCCTCAACACATCTCTCTCATTTCCTACCCTCCATGATTTTATTGACATTTAATGCATTTCCTTATGAGGTTTCCAGTCCCCTAAAATTTAGAAAAACTGAATACTGTTTCAGTAATAGCCATGGTTTATAAATAAGACTTAGACATTTAACAAGACTCTTAAATGTCTCTCTCTACCTTCTACTAATCAAAGTAGGTTCAAACTTAATTTTTATTACCCAAAGACAATGATATCAAAGCAAAGCTGGTATCTTGTAGAGGCTATTTTTTTTCTAAGTCTCTGCCATTGCGTTCTGTATGAAGTCTAGGAGGGATAATTAATATTGACTGAGCTACTTTGGCTGTATCCATTTTAACTTGCTTAGAGCTGTATCTAATGAGATAGATTTAGAACATTTTTCTGGCATGGCTTTGCTGACTAGCATAAAGAAAACTTTGGGTCATAATACATTTTGGGTAAAGCATACCCATAGTCTAATCTTAAAGTTTGCTTCCAGTTTCAGGAAGAGAAAAGTATACCATTATGTTATCCATGAAAATGCTCCAATACTTTATTTTAAAATCCCTGCTTCTAAGAGTGGCTTAATAATACAGGACTTTAAGAAACATCATCTATATCCTTGAACTGGCAAGCCAGCTCTAGTGTGGCAGGTATTACAATTACAGACATAAAGACTAGATGAAGATAAGGGGCTTCTGAGTTGATCACTTTGTCCTTCTTCCTTTATTGGAATGGTGATGAATGTTCCAGAGAGTGTCAAATGCATTTGGCCTTCTGCATTTTACCATTCATTCAAGGGTCAGGAACTCCTGGAACTGTTCTGTGCCACTTTAATATAGTTCCATGGTATATAGTCCACCCTTAAAAGCATTTTCAAAAAAATATTATTAATGCCAGTTATTGTGACCAAGTTTTATAAACTCTATACAGGTAAAAAAAATACACTGTCACTATACTTAGTTCTTTAATAATAACAGAAATAATAATACATGACTTGAAGTTTCAGTTGTATGTGTGCAGTAAAAATAATTTAAATGTAAGAATCAGTGAAGTTATAGGATTTACTAATGAAAAGACTGATACACTGAATAATTACGTATTTTAATTTTTTCTACTTTCACTGCTTTCCATGGTAGGATCTGTACTTTCTTTCCAGAATAAACAAGAAGCCTAGAAACATGACTAGGTAGTTATAAATTAATTTAGCTTCAGTAAATTGACTGAAGCTTAAAACAGCATGTGCTAGCTAAGTGCTTAGTAAGTGCCACAAACCGATGTTATTCCCATGGAAATACCTATTAAGTACTATTAGTCTAATTTTGCAGGTAAGGGAACTGAGGCTTGAAGGAGCTATATATCCCACCCAAAGTCAGACACATCTAATAATTGTCAGAATCAAGGTTTGAATCCTAGCAATCTGGCATTGTAATCTGTGTTTTTAACAACTGTGCAATATTCATTTGCTTTTCTGAACCTAGAAACAGTGGAGACTGTGTATGCCAGTGTGAGATGCCAGAAGTCAGTTCCAAGTGGCAGAGAGTGCAAGAATTGTCAGCTGTTAAGGAGCTCAAATAAATTGAAGCTGCTACTACTTTATAGTGCAATGGGGATAGAGATGAAGACACAGAGCAGAATCCAGATCAATGTGATGCCTGCCTTCCCAGAGCTTTACTGCAAGAATTTTTAAATATTGAAATGGAAATTTTGTGTATACGAGTGCTTTATTTGCATGGATATCTGTGAACCACTTGGGTGACTGGAGTCCAAGGAAGCCAGAAAAGTGTGTATACCATAGAGCGTGAGTTACAGACAGTTGTGAGCCATGTGGATGCTGGAAATAGGATCTAAGTCCTCTGGAAGAGCAGTTGGTGCTCTAACCTTTAAGTTCTCTCTCCAACCCCAGTGAGCCACATTTAATCAAGTTCCTACATAAATCCATTTCTCCTGAGAATCAGTTGTTTTATAGTAAAAAATGATGACAAGAAATATGTACTCTAAAGGCTTGACTTTTTCAGTAAACACTTCCACATCATTTTTAAAGGGTTTATTTCACCACATTGGTGGCTAAGGTCAGAGTATGTGAAGAGCTGTTCATGAATCCAAATGGAATTAAAGGACAAATTTGCTAACTCATCTTAAAATTGTAATATTTTTAAATGGTAATTAACTTATCCAAGCCCCATTAGTTTAGTTTTTCCAATTCAACTGTCTTGACCCAAGCATTCAGAAGAAGGTTATGTATCTAACAGATATTCTCCTTCTCAATACCCATGCCCTGCCTTTTGCTAAATAACATTGAATATCACATGTGCCCCTTACTATTATCATCCTTATTTAATCACTAATAGCCTTTTGCTTCTTTTCAAGAACTTTAGCCTTTGACTAGAAAGAACCATTGCTCCAGGGATGAAGATGAACATGAGTCATGTTTCTTTCTCCTAATCAGTGTGGAGCCCAGATCCCATGCTGCCTCTGAATACAGCCATTAGCATCAGTGCAAAAAGAAATGTCTCAGAGCTTTCATGTTCAATGGCAAGAGTTGATTTTGTTTAAAAAAAAAAAAGTCTGCCTTGCTCCTGAGCATTCATATAAGCTTGAACCTTTAGTGTTGCTAGGGGTCTATGAAGCCATCCAGCCCATCCCCTCCTTTCACTGGTTAGAAAGTAAGGTCTGAGCTTTTAAGTGAGTAGCAGAGATTTTAGGAACAACAAGAAATTGGAATCTCAGAGAAGCAGTTGTGCACACTTAGAACCATATATGCAGAGCAAATGACCCTGATAATGCATCACTTCTTGAGTGCGCATGTGCAGTATGCCTACTATGGGCCAAACTAAGCTTATGGTCCCTACTTCACATTTCACTTCCAGCCATCCTAAGTTATATGGTATTGCTTGTATTTTACAAAAAAGACATAGGATGCACAGAAGTTTTAACAGCTCATGAGTCTTTTTACAGGCATTAAGGGGGCGTGATGAACTGACAGTTTGGGCGCAGGAGTTTCTGAGTTCATACTATTCTCTCTTAGATTTGTAAGAGGAATTTCTTTTTACTAGTCATCTCCGGATTTTTGGCAAGCTTCTTTTAGTTTTTCTTTAGAAATGGTTTCACTCTTGGCCTTTTGTTATACAACATACCTACTCTTTAGATAAAGCACTGGAAAACAAAGAAACAGCAGTGACAAACACTTTCAGAGTGTTTATTTTAGGTGTGCATGTAAAGAGAAAATGGTAAATAAATTATAATCCTAAAACTGACAACTGAAATACAGGTATAGATGCTAAAGTTTATTCATTCACACAACAAATCTTTACTGAACTGCTACTCTGCCCAATGATCTCAGCTAGGTTATTGCGCTGAACAAAATAACACAGATTCCTTCTATTGATATAGCATATAAACCTGAGAAGAACACACAATAAAAATCAGTAGTGGGCACATTTATATGTAACATGTGGGGATAACTATATTTTGAAGGACAAAGAAGGGACTGAGATTTGGGGTGGAGATTTTAGGAGAAGTTGGTATTATATGTGTGTCATGTAAGAAACCAAGGAGAGCTGGGCAGTGGTGGCACACGCCTTTAA